CTGATATGAGATATTATTTACACTATTTACATTATTCGGACTATTGTCCTCATCTTTGTCACCATATTTATTACAACGTTACGGCCTTTCAGTATCTGTCTATATTTCTGAGATGAGGTATTATGTACACTATTTACATTATTCACACTATTGTCCTCATCTTTGTCGCCATATTTATTACAACGTTTCGGCCTTTCAGTATCTGTCTATATTTCTGAGATGAGGTATTATGTACATTGTTTGCATTATTTGGACTATTGTCCTCATCTTTGTCGCCATATTTATTACAACGTTTCGGCCTTTCAGTATCTGTCTATATTTCTGAGATGAGGTATTATGTACACTATTTACATTATTCACACTATTGTCCTCATCTTTGTCGCCATATTTATTACAACGTTTCGGCCCTTCAGTATCTGTCTATATTTCTGAGATGAGATATTATGTACACTATTTACATTATTCACACTATTGTCCTCATCTTTGTCACCATATTTATTACAACGTTACGGCCTTTCAGTATCTGTCTATATTTCTGAGATGAGGTATTATGTACATTGTTTGCATTATTTGGACTATTGTCCTCATCTTTGTCGCCATATTTATTACAACGTTTCGGCCTTTCAGTATCTGTCTATATTTCTGAGATGAGATATTATGTACACTATTTACATTATTCACACTATTGTCCTCATCTTTGTCACCATATTTATTACAACGTTACGGCCTTTCAGTATCTGTCTATATTTCTGAGATGAGGTATTATGTACACTATTTACATTATTCACACTATTGTCCTCATCTTTGTCGCCATATTTATTACAACGTTTCGGCCTTTCAGTATCTGTCTATATTTCTGAGATGAGGTATTATGTACACTATTTACATTATTTTGACTATTGTCCTCATCTTTGTCGCCATATTTATTACAACGTTTCGGCTCTTCAGTATCTGTGTATATTTCTGAGATGAGGTATTATGTACACTATTTACATTATTCGAACTATTTTCCTCATCTTTGTCGTCATATTTGTTACGACGTTTCGGCTCTTCAGTATCTGAGATGAGGTATTATGTACATTGGTCGTTGGAATGTCATCACGAACACATGACACAGTGAATAAAGGCGTTAGTTAGATCCAGTGACACGGCCCAAAGAGTGTGAGTTCAATACCCGGCTAAGGCAGTGGAGAACTTGGAGAGGGGAATTAACAGGCGATAACTGATAACTGACATCCATTAAACATGACACGTTGAACTAGAACTGTCTACCCCAGTGAGCGAAATAAAGGGTTCAGTCGACATTCCAACCACCTGAAGAAGACCGGAGCGTTTAACGGCCGAAACGTTGTAATAAATATGGCGAAAAATATGAGGACAATAGTTCGTATAATATAAATAATGATACCTCTTACGTTAATGTTTAGAATGCTATTAAATAATCATTTTTGAACGAGCTGTATACGTGGAAATTCCCCGGAATTTTTATAAAACAGACTTTTAGATTAAATTATGTTTGTAAGTACTGTTTAGTCGCCATCAAGATTAACATCACAAATAAATTACATGTGCGTGCTTCTTTGCAAATTTAATTACACACGTGAAAATACTTTTTGCAAGGTGTTCTTAAAGACCAATGGCAAGATAGGATGATAGATTTACTTATCGAAATATATTTACAATGACAGGTTACCCTTGTTAATATCCATTTTCGATATATATTCAATGAAAATAAGCTAATTTTATGATATATAGTTAAATGTTCTAAAAATATCTGCTGCAATTTCTAATAAAATTTCAATTAATCAGAACATGCATGTATATAGAAATTATATATTCAATACAATAGTTCACCCAAATTCAGTGAAAACATTCAGCACTTCTTCATTTGTGTGCTTTTCTGCAAAGATAAATGCAATATGTCGTAGAGGAAAATATCTTTTCAGAATGTCAGCGCAGTTTTGCCAGTATATTCTCAATTTTCATCCTGAAAGAGAACAAAAGCAATATGGCGCTCACTAGTAAATTTAATTCGATTAAATCTAAATATGAATCAACCAGATTTTAAATGAATCATTTATAAGTTAAATAAATAAATGAATTCAAATATGTAAGTAAAATTTTTAAAATATAAATAAAAATCAATTACTATTAAATTTAATTATCGAATTGAGTAAAAATGTTAAAAATTTCTTTATTAAATGTTTAAAGTCAATTTTGGTTTTCATCAGAGTTTGAATTGCTCAGGTTTAATTAAACTCTAATTAAAATAAGGGGCAAGTTGAATTGCTCAGCAAGGATTATAGACATGTGTTTTATTTAGTTAGCTCGGACATTAATGAGTCTAGGACACCAACCGTTACGGTCCTGCGTCAACTTCAAAAGGTCGTTAGGGTGGTATCCTGTGTCATAACAAATCTGGTCAATATAAGTGATTGCTCGGTGACCATCCCGTCTTGCTTCCATCAAGTACAGTAGATTTGAGGTGAGGCTTGCATTCCCACGTGACAAAATAACAGTATATAATTTAGCGGGCCGGTGTAACAGCCCAATATATATATATATATATATATATATATATATATATATATATATATATATATATATGTGTGTGTGTGTGTGTGTGTGTGTGAAAATATATAGAAAATAGGAAAGAACTCGTTAGGTAAATAATCAAAAGTTATTTTTTTTAAATATAATATATATATATATATATATATATATATATATATATATATATATATAACATTAGGCAGAATATAATTTATATACAAAGAAATAATCACACATAGAATCAATCAGTAATATTAATGGTATTATTGGCGACATCCATCGCTAGTATTGTATAATGTATGCATTAAAATACTGTTAATCCATAGAATGACGTGATCCTCATCTATAAAACTGTTGACTTGCATTTAAAAAAATATAAACTGGAAACAACAGTCAACAGTTTTATAGATGAGAATCACGTCACTCTATGGATTAACAGTATTTTAATATTACTGATTGATTCTATGTGTGATTATTTTTTGTATATATATATATATATATATATATATATATATATATATATATATATATATATATATATATATACTCAGCCCAGAGTACATACCGGGTTATTCTAGATGAGGCTGTTTTATACCCACAGTTTCGCAAGGGTAACTATATATCTCCACCGAGTATAAAAATATATACCACTATCGTTTCCAGTGTATTAAGATATATATTAGTGCAATCACATATGATAGGGATTCTATGGATTATGCAGTGTAACACTTTCGCAGAGAACCTTTGTGAATCCTAGAGCCCTCAATTAATTTGTGATTCCCTGGCTTGCCTATGAGTAGGCTTAAATTATGGGCGACTGTTCATATTGTTCAAATAATTGAAAAGTAGTTATTTTTTGTGATTGACCTGAGTTACCTCAGACATTCATCAGTCTATCACCCCAACCATTACGGTTCTGCATCAAGGTCGGAAGGTCATTAGAGAGGCATTCTGTGTCATTGCAAGGTTGCTGGGTGACCATCCCGTTTTCCCCCATGACTATCTATCCAGATCAGTAGATCACGCACGAGTTATTTTTTTGCCCGTCAGCAGCGTTCTACAAAACATATTCTGCGTTTATGTAAGATTATAGAAATATCATGGATTGTTCCATAGACCTGTGATTTAGTTGGATGTTGTCTCTAAGAGATACTAAATATAGCTCCCAGCGTAGATTCCATCAAGCTTAGACTCTAGGGCTTTGGGTAATGTCCAGGCAGTAGCATCATATATTAACATCGCCTCGACAGAGGCTAGAAAAGTATCTCCGCTTGAGGTTTTCTGGTATATCAGATTTCCAGATTACATGCATTACAACGGTTCTCCAGGGTGACATCATCGCACCTTTCCTCTTTTTTTATAACCCTTGAATACATATTGAGAACTTCTCTCAGCAAACATCATCGAGGTTTTACTTTTTCTCGAAGACACTGAAGTCGATATCCGGCAAAAAAAGTTTTAATTTACATTACTTACATTGTTCGGACTATTTTCCTCATCCTTATTGTCATGTTCGAGACGTTTCGGTCTTTGTACGCTGTGGCCTTCTTCAGACGACTGGAATTTCAAACTGAACCCTTTATTTTGTCCGCCGGGGTAGACTGTTCTAGTTCCACGTGTCGTTAACTCAACTCATCAAGGTATTGAACTGGCAACTCTTTGGGTCATGAAAGCTGTGAACTTGAAGAGAGACGGGAACTTGAAAAGGGAGATGAAAGCTGTAAACTTGAAAAGAGAACAATGTCATAATGTAAATTATTAGAATACCTCATAAAAAAGTTTTAGTTAATGTCCAGGCAGTGGCATCAGACATTAACCCCAGTGGATTGAAGGAATCTCCGCTTGTGGGGTGTAGGTATTATTACATTATAAACTACAGACGTCTACATAGAGCGTATTAAGTATATTTCAAAATTATATTAGGGTCGCTTATTCGATATATTGCATTGTTAGGGAACCCGAGTGCCATTTAAGGCCCGACTATATGTGAATGAAAACCTCAAAAATGACATATATTTTTAAGGTATGTTCAGAAAGGTAAAAAAAAAATAAGTAGATACGATAATACACGTAGAGATGACAGGTGGAAATAGGGCCTTAAAAAGTTTTTATTTGAAAAATAAGTTCGGTGTAACATTTTCGCAGAGAACTTTTGATTCCTTGGTTTGCCTATTATTAGGCTTAAATTATGGCCGACTGTTCATATTGTTCAAATAATTGAAAAGTAGTCATTTTTTTGTGATTGACCTGAGTTATCTCAGACATTAATGAGTCTATCACGCCAACCATTACGGTCGGAAGCTCATTAGGGAAACATTTTGTGTCATAACAAGTTTTCCTGGGTGACCATCCCGTCTTTGGGTAGCTTATTCGATATATTGCACTGTTAGGGACCCCTTGTATCATTTAAGGCCCGATTATATGCGAATGAAAACCTCAAAAATGACATGTTTTCAAGGTATGTTCAGAAAGGAAAAAAAACTAAGTAGATTCGATAATACACGTAGAAATGACAGGTGAAAATAAGGTCTTAAAAAGTTTTTATTTGAAAAATAAGTTCGGATCAGGTTAGTCATTATTTTGAAAAGCTTAAACTCGACGAATGGTCTATTTCTTTTGTTTACTTAAGGAGTTAAGGAGGATGATCTGTTTGCAATAGAAATCCCTAGTAAATCTGTCTCCCAACAAGTAGCCAACCGGTAAAATCGGTTTTTAACACTGCTACGGTTACTTAATAGATTCCATAGTTAGCGTTCCTAGTATCACATAAGACTAGACATTATATAAAGAAACTCTTACGAAGAGCATCTTTTTAAAGATTGCGCCCAAAATATGAACAAATAACCAACATAGATCTTATACAATAGATAGAGCCTCGCGATTGAACTTAAATTTAAGTTCATTTTGAAATCTAATCCGAATTAAAAGAAAAATAATTTCCGTATATAAATAAACGTTTTAGGCAATTTACAAACATTAGTACATTTTTTGTCACTCATTGGCACAGCTAGCCGCCATTTTATACGAAAAATATAAACAACAAATTTAAAACTCATTTTAAGATCCAATATTTGGCCTAGAGATATGTTTTGAAATATATTATTAAATTTAAGACGTAATTCACTGAATATTCGAAAAGTAATACTTACATTTTACCTAATAGAAAATGAAATAACATTTTATTTGAAAAACGGTAACCTTGTAAGATCAAAGGAAAAATTCGTATGAAGTCGGACAAAGGAAAACCGAGAAAAACTGTAATTCTACCACCTGTATGAAAAAATCGAACCATAAAATAAAAATAAAACCTAAAGAAATACGGAAGATCAGAAGAACAGTAAATTTATTTTCGTTCAAGTTATATATTTTTAACTGTCGGATATAAAACGAGGGATGCGTTTTTAATTATTATTATTTAATAAACTTATCCTCTACCAAATTAATACCCATGAGAATGCACTGAAAAGTTATTTGTGCAAATAAAGAAATATTCAAAAAATAAATTTTGTCATTTTTTTTTCATTTGGTGAGATTTGGGGAAGTTAGCCAGTCTAAAAAACTTAATAGAATACCATACTGGTCATATGATGGGGGGTCAGTTTTCCTTTGTTATTATGTAATAAACTGATCGCCTCTGTTTTATTTCGTAGAGAAATGCAGGTAATTTCTCGGCCCAGTCAAGAAATGATTAAAAAATACATTCTGATGTACAGGCATTTTGTCAGATTTTGGGAAGTGTGTCGAGCTGATCAATTTTCAAGTCCTTCTTGTGGTATTAAGATAAAACTAGTAACAGCCATTAAACGTTCATATCTTTCCAATTTTAATTTTCTGATGAATCATCATTCATAATTTAATTAATGACTAAGCCTCGTTGTGAGTTTCCCGATTATAAAATACGAATGAAAACTGCCATGTTGCTTTGTTAAATATTTGTGCTTAAAAAATTAAAAAAAAATATCACAATTTGACACTGACAAGACATATTGATGGCAAAGACATAGTGGAAGATGCGCACAACCCTACCTAATGACCTTGTGTAAATGGTTGGCAGAAAGTGTCTATTTCTGTCGCTTACTTCAAGAGTCTAGGAGTCTGATTTGTTCGCAACAATTTACTAAGAGTTACAAAGAACAGGAAATTGTGGAGTACTATAATTATCCACGCCCTGAATGGATACATCACATGGAATAAGAAGTAAGAGGGTACAAATGAAAAGATTCACAATTGACAAGCTTTTCCATTTCACTAAAGCAGACGCTAAAAAAAATGAAAGCGTTATTTGTCTCTCTCTTTTTTCTTTATTTTTCTTTGTTTATTTGTTTTTTTGTTTCTTTCATTCTTTCTTATTTCCTGCCATCCTTTTTCTTTCTTTCTTTCTTTCTTTCTTTCTTTGATTCTTTATTACTTTGTTTCTTCCCTTCCACTTCCTTAAACCAAACAGCGTCTTTGATGTACACTTTCTTTCTTTCTTTCTTTGTTTCTTTCTTTCTTTCTTTCTTTCTTTCTTTCCTTCCACTTCCTTAAACCAAACAGCGTCTTTGATGTACACTTTCTTTCTTTCTTTCTTTCTTTCTTTCTTTCTTTCTTTCTTTTTCTTTCTTTCTTTCTTTCTTTCTTTCTTTCCTTCCACTTCCTTAAACCAAACAGCGTCTTTGATATACACTTTCTTTCTTTCTTTCTTTCTTTCTTTCTTTCTTTCTTTCTTTCTTTCTTTCTTTCTTTCTTTCTTTCTTTCTTTCTTTCTTTCTTTCCTTCCTTCCACTTCCTTAAACCAAACAGCGTCTTTGATATGCACTTTTACTTCTTCTTTCCTTGATTTTCTTTCTTTCTTTCTTTCTTTCTTTCTTTCTTTCTTTCTTTCTTTCTTTCTTTCTTTCTTTCCTTCCACTTCCTTAAACCAAACAGCGTCTTTGATATGCACTTCTACTTCCTTCTTTCCTTGATTTTCTTTCTTTCTTTCTTTCTTTCTTTCTTTCTTTCTTTCTTTCTTTCTTTCTTTCTTTCCTTCCTTCCTTGAAATCAAAATGGAACAGTTCATTATTTATTTGAGGTAGTGGCAGCGTGTAACGTATTTGACTTAACCAACTGACCAACTAATTAAACCTGCTTTACAATTATTATTACTATTATTATTATCATCATCATTCGATTTCTGCTATGGACACACTACCTACCAAGTCTGCGGAAAGACCTAAGGCAGGTCGTGGTGTGTTGTTATGGCCACATTTCATTTAATTTTTTTTTTTTTTTTATCTCCGATGAAGTTGCTAGCGTTACATAGACAAAGTTCTCCTTAGTGTGTGTGCTGTACTTAATAAGACAATTTCTGTATGTCTCTCTTAAACTGGGGTTTCAGGGATTCTTTCAATGTGTTGTTTTGTTCCATTTTTTATAATTCCAAGTGCACCTATTACCACTGGTATTATTCTTGTTTTCAATTTCCACATTTTTTATTTCAATTTCAGGTCTTTGTATTTTGATAGTTTTTCAAATTCCTTGGTTGCTATGTTACAATCCGCTGGACAAGCCATATCAATTAGTAGGCAAGTTTTTTCTTTCTGGTTTTGACAATAATGTCCGGCCTATTTGCTTCAATTTTTCTGTCTGTGTGGATGGTATAATCCCATAGAATGGTGACATCTTCTATTTCTGTAACCGGCGCTGGCCGATGTTCATACCAGTGTTTGCTTACACATTTTCCAAAGTGTTTGCACATTGTCAGTGTAAGTATTGCCCCACTCTATCGTGACGATTTTTTATATTCATTTTGGGGCAAGTATAGAACATCCTGAGATTAGATGGTCTATTGTTTCTTGGTATTTGTCACAGAACCTGCATTTTGGATCCACATTATTATGTATGATATTTGCCTGAAAATTCCTAGTGAAAAGACTCTGGTCTTGCGCTGCAAGAATAAACCTTCAGTTTCAGACTTTAATCCAGATGCTCGTAACCATCGATGAGTATTAACTTTATCAACATTGGGTTTATTTGCACGTTCTGGATATTGGCCAAAAGAGGTTTGTCTTGCCAGCGTTGTTTCATCTGTTCAAGGGCTTTATCCTTGGCTTTCTTTTTCATATCTTTTGCTGCAATAGTTGGTTCTTGGCTTCTGTTTTGATTTTACTACAGAATCTACTAAATGTAAATGTTGTTTGTATTTACTGCCTTCTTTTATTATTGAATATTTTTTCTTTCTGTTTTCATGTTGTTTCACTAATTTTATCATCCAGTCATTTGTTGTTTTCCATGTAAGTTAGTAAGCCAATAGTTGTTGTCTTGTATGACAATTCTAGCTGAATAAGACCTCTTCCACCTTCTTTACGGGGTATGTATAGACGGTCTACATCAGCCTTTGGATGATGCATCTTATTTAGAAAGAAGCTTTCTTGTTTTAGAATCCATTTGTCTGATGTTTTTTTAGAGTCCAGTTCAAGATGTTGAAACTATATTATTACTATTATTATTATTATTATTATTATTATTATCATTATTATTATTATTTCTGCTATGGACACACTACCTACCAAGTCTGCGGAAAGACCTAAGCAGGTCGTGGTGTGTTGTTATGGCCATTTCATTCATAATTTTTTTTTTTTTTTATCTCCGATGAAGTTGCTAGCGTTACATAGACAAAGTTCTCTTAGTGTGTGTGCTGTACTTAATAAGACAATTTTCTGTATGTCTCTTAAGCTGGGGTTTCAGGGATTCTTTCAATGTGTTGTTTTGTTCCATTTTTTATAATTCCAAGTGCACCTATTACCACTGGTATTATTCTTGTTTTCAATTTCCACATTTTTTCTATTTCAATTTCCAGGTCTTTGTATTTTGATAGTTTTTCAAATTCTTGGTTTTATGTTACAATCCGCTGGACAAGCCATATCAATTAGTAGGCAAGTTTTTTTTCTGGTTTTGACAATAATGTCCGGCCTATTTGCTTCAATTTTTCTGTCTGTGTGGATGGTATAATCCCATAGAATGGTGACATCTTCTATTTCTGTAACCGGCGCTGGCCGATGTTCATACAGTGTTTTTACACATTTTCCAAAGTGTTTGCACATTGTCCAGTGTAAAGTATTGCCCCACTCTATCGTGACGATTTTATATTCATTTGGGGCAAGTATAGAACATCCTGAGATTAGATGGTCTATTGTTTCTTGGTATTTGTCACAGAACCTGCATTTTGGATCCACATTATTATGTATGATATTTGCCTGAAAATTCCTAGTGAAAAGACTCTGGTCTTGCGCTGCAAGAATAAAAGCCTTCAGTTTCAGACTTTAATCCAGATGCTCGTAACCATCGATGAGTATTAACTTTATCAACATTGGGTTTATTTGCACGTTCTGGATATTGGCCATGCAGAGGTTTGTCTTGCCAGCGTTGTTTCATCTGTTCAAGGGCTTTATCCTTGGCTTTCTTTTTTCATATCTTTTGCTGCAATAGTTGGTTCTTGGCTTCTGTTTTGATTTACTACAGAATCTACTAAATGTAAATGTTGTTTGTATTTACTGCCTTCTTTTATTATTGAATATTTTTTCTTTCTGTTTTCATGTTGTTTCACTAATTTTATCATCCAGTCATTTGTTGTTTCCATGTAAGTTAGTAAGCCAATAGTTGTTGTCTTGTATGACAATTCTAGCTGAATAAGACCTCTTCCACCTTCTTTACGGGTATGTATAGACGGTCTACATCAGCCTTTGGATGATGCATCTTATATTTTTAGAAAGAAGCTTTCTTGTTTTAGTTATTATTATTATTATTACTATTATTATTATTATTATTATTATTATTATTATTATTATTATTATTATTTTCTTTGATTTCTGGCGTTTACACATTTCTTTCCGGGTCCCGCCCAGGGACCTAAGGTTAGAAATGGCATCATGACAATTTCCACTGACAAAAAGAAAAAAGAAAATTACAAAGATAAAGCCCTTCGTAAAGTGTTGGCTGTACTTGTCAGAACAATTTTTTGTATCTCCTTGATGCATGGACTTCCAGGAATCCCTTAAATTAGTCGACTGTAATTTTTCCAACCTATCCTAGGGCTCCAACTACAACAGGGATTGTTATTATTATTATTATTGTTATACGGTGTTTTGTTACCCGCAAATGTTTTAAGTACATGTTTTTTTTCTAGTTGGGAAATTCTATCTTTTGCTCTCACCCACTCATCTCCCCACTCACTGATGGTGTGTAACACGTGGTGCAAAACTGTTATACGTAAGGTCTTTGTGCAAATGGATGGCAGAACAGAAATGAGGAGAGATAACGGAAAGATAACAGTTTTTAAGAGCTATAAAGGACAGGAAATTGTGGAGTGCCATGATCCTCCTATTGCTGAATGGGCACATCACAAAAAATAAGTAAGAGGGTACAAATGAAAACATTAAACATTGACAAGATCTTCCAGTTCAGTGTAGCAGACGTTAAAAACTTAAAAGAGTTATGGCCAGCTCTATTTTTTGTTTGTTTGTTTGTTTCTTTGTTTCTTTCTCCTTCCTTCCATATTTCCTTCCTTCCTTTTTTCTTTCTTTCTTTTTCTCACTAAAACCAAACAACGTCTGGGATATATACCGTATATAATCGCATGAGCTTTGCGCAGAGGCGGTACCGTAGCCAATGAGGATGCTGGTCCTTGCTGGTGGTATCACGTCTGCTCTTAGCTCAGACCGGCTCTGACAAGCCAAGACTAGCTTAGACTAGCCCTGACCGGTTTGGACAAACCAAGACCAGCTATGACTAGCTTAGACCAGCTATGACCTGCTTGGACAAGCTATGACCACCTAAGACCAGCGGCCCGAGTGAAAACACTCGGGGCCACGTTAAAAACTGACCTTGTGTCACAACCTGACTCAGTGTGGGGTCAAGTAAATATACCGTATAACCGCATATCAGGCGACCTTTGAAAACCTAATTTTGAAGCTAATTTGACTACGGTAAATGGATATATATTTTGGTCAATGGCATAGCCAGATCCAGTAGTATATACACTAATTTCATATCTAGTATATGACGCTACCCTCTTAAAATTCGCTTCAAAATTAGGGTTTCAAATGTAGCATGATACGGTATTTCGTTATCCTCTTTCCTTGAGAAACAAAACTTAACATTCCATTATTTAATGGTAAGGCGTAACGTACTTGGTAACCAACTGACTAATTAAACCTGCTTTAGTCACATGGCGTGTTTTGTTACTCCCAATGCTTCCTTCACTTTTTCCCACTACTTTGCTAAGTCAGAGAACTTGTGTAGCACTCATCGTGACGCAGTTGTAGCTCAGCAGTGGGAGGTAGCCGTCTCTTTGTCTTTCATTTTAGAATGCGGCGGTTGACAAAAGCAGGGTTACGGAACTAAGGAAAAAACAGATATGATGTGATAATGATGGGTTTAAAATAGGGTATCGATTTCCTATTGTTATTAAATAATGAACTGATATCGAATTTTATTATGTATCAAAAGGTATTGAAAAGGTCTCATCTCAACCAAGAATGAATACGAAAAAATAAAATTCGGATTTTTGAGTATTATATCAGTTTTTTGGAAGTGAATTTTACTTAGAACTTTCTAAAATTTTCGAAAAAATAGACCGAAGAATGAATCGGCTGAAAAGCGATTTACGTTTGTTTTAATAAGGAAAAACGGTTAATCACTCAAACAATTTGGGACATTTTTTTTTCAGTTTTATTTGTTTGGGATTCTTTCTTTTGTCTGGCAATATTTTATTCGGCGTGCTTGAGAATAAGAAACAGTCTCCAGTTCCCAGATTTGAACGGAGAAGAAAACGTATTTTGCGGCGAAATATAGGACAGTAAAAATTATTTCTGTAATATATCGATTACTCTTTGCAAAAACCGAACGTAAAAGTAACACAAACGATCTTCAAGATAATTTTACGAAAAC